GGCCAGCCATGTGTGTGGGCCTGTTAACATTTTGGGACATGTCCAAGGAAGCCATGGTTTCCAAGAACTCAAGAGCCAGACCGGTAACCTCCGCCTCTGCTTGGATGTTGAAATTGACCAAGTCTCGGGGATCCCAACAGAGCCACGGAGATGAAGTCAGTTAGCTCTGGTAGGGAGGTGGCTGGATCGTGGGGAGCAAGGTATACCAGCAAGATCCCAATACCATCCCTGGCCCCAATCAACACGTGGAGGGCCTCTAGGCAACCTCAAGGGTGTCTGACAACCTCAAGGGTGTCCTTATAAACAATGGCAACTCCCCTACCCCAACCCTGCAGTCTACCCATCCATGTCTCAGTTATGCAAGCCAGATCTGCATCCTTTTCCAGAGTAAGATTTTGTATTAGCTGGTCTTTATTGGATACAGACCTGGCGTTCAACAGCACCAAAGTAGAGTAGAGGGGCGACTGAGCTGGCTACCTTGAGTCTGGTAGGTGGTAACAGTGCCAGAGCAATGGACAGCTTTCAGGCCTCTGTTCACCATTATTCTGGAATGACTAAGAGCTGTACCAATGCCATATCTCCCCCTACCTGTAATCACCTGCATGTTCTTGAAGCACCTGCTGGTAAGCAGGCCTTCCTCTCCATTCCTAGCACAAAACACTCTAACAGTAGCAGCGAACTCAATTAAGGTAAGAGTAAGTACACAATAATTAACAGGAACAAATTAACATAAATAACATAAATTATACACTATTAGAATCAGTGCAATTGAATTAGAATTAGTGCAATAAAAATAAGCAATATATTGATACAATTTAAGTAATTGTTACAACTTAGGGTAGGATAACTTAGTTCATATAGTTAAAGAAACAAAAGCCCATCCGACAACTCTACCTCTAAGTATAAGAATATGTTTGCTTAATAAAGATGGTTGAGACGAAAGAACCAGAGGAAAGTGAAATAGAATGAAATAAAATAAAGTAAAAAACCAAGTTGTCTCCTTCTCTGACTTCTCTCCACTATCCTCTCACCCGTCTTCCACTAGTGTATACATGTGAAGACATTCAGCTGAGCTTGAAGCAGAATTTGGATTCCTTTCACCTTTAGTACAAGTACACTCCGCACTATCTTGCTCACTCCGTCTCCCATGCTTCACAAGAGATTTAGAGGTAACAGAACTGAGTTTTGGATGCTAAAGCAGGGTAGTGGGTAACACTTAAGTGATCACAAAAGCAGGGGATCAAAAACAAACTACCGCAAGTTGGAGTCTACTGTAAGTGGAGGCAGAATTCATTGCATCTTCCTACGTTTGCATGGTTAACTAATAACTTGAGGCTTATGTTGCCTTCATTTTTCTTTCTATTTTTCTCTCTTGCTTCTGTCTTTGTAAAGGTTGTCCCCTTGAAACAAGCACCAGTGTAACTTGTGTGTTGTGCAGTATTATAAACATCACTGTGTATATAGTGCCTGTATCAGACTCAGATCCTTCCTTTGGCTGGTTTCTGGATTCTAATGTCAGCCTTTTGATTGTTGAATCACAAGAAATTTTGATGTAGATTGAAAAGGATAAACAGTTTGGTTTTCTACTCTTTGACTAATACTTAATCACCACCTTTGCCAATGTCTGGCAGCAAATGTTTCCATTTCCATTACTATGTAGGTTTTTTGTACATGTTGCTTAGATTTCTTGTGCTGCCTGAAGGGTGTTTGCCTTTGCAGAAAGCTAGGAAACATCTTGAAGCTCCAGAGGCAAAGGCTTTCAAGCTTCTTGAGGAAACTGAACAAGGTTGACATGCACAGACTCCACTAAATAGAAGATTTTCAGAAAGAGTTGCTTATTTTTCCTAGTTAATCACTGTAGATGTCTTAAGGAGTTTGGCTGTATTTGCTACCAATATTGATTCTGACAGTAGAAAGAATTTTAAAAAAAATCTCTAAGGATGAACTTGAATTCAAGATTGCCTATAGAACAACAAAGAATTACTGCACTGTAGCAAAACAACATCTATATAGTATATGTTCACAAAAACAGACTGTGGTGCTGATCCAAACATATTTTTCCTGTACCCAGGTCATTTGACCACCACTGTCTTTCCCACTGACCACTGTTTCTTTCTTTTGAACTCTTACAGTCATGGCCAAAAATATTGGCAATTCTGTAAGAAAATGCAACCCTTCTCTCAGAAAATTGTTGCAGCTGCAAATGTTTTGGTACTCACATGTTCATTTCTTTCATTTGCATCGGAACACAAAAAAACAGAGAAGAAAAGTCAAATCTGATACAATCTCACACAGAAACCCAAAAATAAAACTATTGGCACCCTGTCTAAATTGTAAGAAATAATTGCTTTTCAAGTATGTGATGCTCCTTTGATTTTTATTTAGACACACAATAAAGAAATCACACTTGCAACCAGTTAAGTTGGAGAAAAGTTGATTCAACCTTTGTGTTGTGTGTGACACTGAACATAGAGAAAAGAATGAAGTGTAAACAGTTGGCTGTGGATTTGAGAGAAAAAATTGTGGAAAACCATCGACAATCTCAAGGCTACAAGCCCATCTCCAGAGATCTTAATGTTCCTGTGTCCATTGTGCGCAATACCATCAAGAGGTTTACAGCCCATGGCACTGTAGCTATCTTCTCTGGACGTGGACAGGAGAGCAAGATTACTGAAAAATTACAATGAAGGGTTATTTGAACGATGGATATAGAACCCAGATGATCTTCCAAACAAATTCAAGATGATCTTCAGACACAGGATACAGCAGGGTCAGCTCGCACTATCTGTTGCCATCTGAATGAAAAGGGACACTATGGAAGGAGACCCAGGAGGACACCACTGCTGACACAAAGGCATAAAAAAATAAGACTGGCATATGCCAAAACCTACGTGACAAAATCACAATCCTTCTGGGAGAACATACTGTGGACAGATGAGACAAAAGTAGAGCTTTTTGGTCAAGGACATCATGGCATTGTTTATGGAAAAAGAAATGAGGCATTCAAAGAAAAGAACACAGTACCTACAATCATACATGGTGGAGGTTCAAAGATGTTTTGGGGTTACTTTGCTGATTCTGGCACTGGATGCCTTGGCTATGTGAACGTTATCATGAAATCTGTTGATTACCAAAGAATTTTGCTGCACAATGTAGTGGCCAGTGTCAGAAATCTGGGTCTCTAACAAAGGTCATGGGTCTTCCAGCAGGACAATGACCCAAAACACACTTCAAAAAGCCCTCAGAAATGGTTACAAAGTGCTGAAGAGCTCTGAAATGGCCAGCAATGAGTCCAGATCTGAATCCCATAGAACACCTGTGGAGAGATCTCAAAACAGCAGTTGGGAGAAGGCATCCTTCAAATCTGAAGGCCCTGGAGCAGTTTGCAAAAGAAGAGTGGTCCAAAATTCCAGTAGAGAGGCGTAAGAAACTCATTCATGGTTACAGGAAGCGATTTATTTCAGTTATTTTTTCCAAAGGGGATGCTACCAAATATTAAGTTAAGGGTGCCAATAATTCTGGCCAGTGCATTTTTGGGTTTCCGTGTGGGATTGTATCAGATTTGACTTTTTTTGTGGTTTTTTTTGTGTTGTTCTGACACAAACCAAAGGAATGAACACGTGAGTACTAAAACATTTGCAACTGCAACAATTTTATGAGAGAAGGATTGCATTTTCTGACAGAATTGCAAGGGTGCCAATATTTTGGCCATGACTGTACATCTCTCCTTCCAAGCACCTGGTTTCTCTTGCTTGCTTCTTGCTTCTTTTTTTGTCTATACCTGTCACAGCTAGTTCTGTCTCCTTACTCTCCAGATTTCAATACACTGGTGATCTTCTGCTTTGACTCCTCTAATAATGCTCCCACTTGAATCGGTCACCATTTTAAAGCACTCATATTTTCCCTCTATCTACTTCTGAGCTATACTCCACTCTAATGTCTATGGCTTCAATCCACAATTATCTTTAGCACAGTCACAGAAGAGCTGTATTATGTCCACTCTTCTCCCTCCCAGTGGTCTCCATTCCACACTATTCAGCATCATCATTCCCAGTTACTTTTGACCATTTATGCTGAGTCACATAATTTTTTAATGTGAAAAACTGTTCAAATAGAAATAGGTTAAGAAATCCACACTACAGGTAGAGTGATTTCTTTCCTTTCCATGATGCCCTATTTAGAACATTTGTCAAATGACCAATCCCTTAGCACAGCTAAATAAGCCTCTATACCAGTGGTTCCCAGCCATGGGTAACTGAGGTGCTCTTGGACTGCAGCTCCTAGTAACCCCAGACAGCACAGCTAGTAGTGAAGGCTCCTGGGAGTTATAGTCCAAAAATCCCTTGGTGACCCAAGGTTAGGAACCACTGCCCTAGACAGCTACTTTTTTCATTAGCGAAGGTGTGTTCAGGAATTACTGTGATGAAAACATCTGTAACATAGGGAAAGAGGTGATGTATTCATCAGATAATGATGTCATAAATGCATTTCATACCCAATTATTCAACAGCTTATACTTTCTACTCCTTTAGATTTCTGATAAAATACTCTCCCTGACCATGGTAGTAAAGAGGTTGAGAAAAATTAGTAAATAAACAGAAGTAAACAAACACTTATACTCATACTTGTCCTTACAGAATTTGCTTGTAGTTCTTCTGTTGACATTGGTAATCAGCAGTCTGGCAGTTTTCTAAGAAATTACAGCTTAGTAAAAAATGTCCTTTATAACAGATTATTTTCATTTTTTCCAAAAGTATTTAGATGCCCTATCATTTATTAGAAAAATATCAAAATTATTCATGAAATGAGGCCTCCTTTGGATATTTAGCATTTTTCTAATAAGTGACAGAAATGAGGAAAATTTACCAGACACCTGCTTTTTCTTGAAATTATGACAATTTCTCTATAAAGAGACAATACAAAGGCTCTTTTGTTCATGACGTTTAAACAAAAAACTGCCAATGAGTCAAAATCAGTTGCTAGGTAATTTCCTTGCTCACCGTTCTATGCACTCCTTTACCACAGCAAAATTACCATCTCCAATCACTTTGCCCACTTTGTATTTTTCAAGAATCGTTGATGTCCCTGAGCATTTGTTTCCATTCACACCTGCAGGATGGAAAGGGCAAAAAGCAAGCTGAACAAAAATGTAAGCAATCTGGACAGTCCCTCGCAGATCTCTCATGCTGTGTGGCTATACCCTTCCCTTCAACATCTGAAATTTAAAATAAGCTATTTTAAGCACAGCGTGTCCCTTCAAATTTACATCTAAAACAGAAGGAAAGAGCAAGTGAGCCTAATCCAAGTTATATGACCTTGCTATGCTATCAGAGGGCAAGCATTCAAATATGGTTTTCACAAATCGTTTCCTAATATAATCCAAAAGGTAACAAACCTTCCAGCTAAGTATCAATGTACAGTTGCCTTTCAATCCAGTTTAGTTGCTTACGTTTATTTACATATATTGAAATGTAGATGGGACAAAGCTTTGCCAACTGCATTCAACTATTTGCTTCATATTAATTTTCAAAACTTGGCTATTAATAATACTGTTCTCAGTTTTCTCTTTATTGATCTATCATTAACTGTGTGCTGTCAAGTCAATTCTAACTTATGCTAACCCTTTTCGGGGCTTTCTAGTACCTGAGTTGGTTTGCCATTCCCTTCTGGGGGCATTAAGACTCTGCAGCTTGCCCAGGGCTATGTAGGCGGGCTCTTCTTCAGGGATGCATAGTGGCAAACTGAACTCCCAATTTCTGATTCCACAACCAGAAACCTAACTCAGGGCCTGTCCAGATGGGTATGCAGATCACTGTTTAGATAACTGTACGGTTTGATGAGAACCAAATTATGGCATCCAAACATATTTCTCATTAGATCAATCCAATCTGCTCCTTTAAGAACTGTTATGTTCCTTTCTGACACAGCACAAGGGGTTTCTGTGGTTTTTTTATATGTTCCCCCCCCCTAAGAATTAGTGTCCTCCTAATTATTCTGTTATGTAGTCCATGCAGATGGCTAGTATGCACACAAAAAGAGCTGGGGGCGGCTTTAGATTAACTGAGGAGACAGTCCTGTGGGGTGTGACATTAAAAGGGAGGCAGTTACATTAACAACAATATTAAAAGACTCCTGTATTGAAAACAATTTAAAACATATTCATCAAATAGAAAGCAGCACAGAGCAGATTCATTAAAAGCCATTTCTTTAGCCCACCAATCAATTAATAAAGGTCTGCAAGAATTAACAGCAGTAGTGAACCTCTGGCACTCCAGATGTTTTGCACTATAATTCCCAGAATCACCAGCCTGTACTGCCAATAACAAAGGCATGTGGGAGTTGTAATCCAAAGCATCTGGTGTGCCACAGTCCCTAGTTCCTCATGGTGGTGGGACTAAAGAGAAAGATCTCCCAGAAACGTTCACACCCAAACTAGGTTCATATGGGAGAATAATTTTGTCAGATAGTGTGGATCAATGGATCATGTATGAAATATTATAAAGCTGTTCCTATATAAGTGGAGACTAATATTTTGAGTTCCTCTTATGATCTTAAAAACTCATGACAACTTCAAATGTTCATTGAGGAGCTAACTAGATCTTTGGTAAACTTTATCTTGTAAAAATTTTATCTTGGCAAAGATGTCCCTGCTGACGTTTTTCCTGAAAAATCTATTATGATACATTCATCTTTTAACCACTCTTATGAATATAGGAGAGCAGATGGCTGGATAGTTCAATGCATTGGGCATCTGGTTGCAGAACAAGAAGTTGGGAGTTCAATTTCTCAATATGACTCCCTAGAGAAGACCCCACCTGTACAGTCTTGGGCCAGCTGCACAATTCTAGGATGCCCATAAGTGAGTGGAATGGTAAATCACTTCTGTGTACTCTGTGCCTAGAAGGGACTGCCACGAATCAGAACAGATTTATGGCACATGATTATTCTATAATTATGAAAAGAATAATATTCTAACTTAATTGTTTCTCATTTTAAGCCAGACCTTAGAAAAATTACTCCCTGGAATACATTTCCTTGAGAATGCCAGCCATCACAGTCAGTAACCATGCTGGTTGAGGAACTCTGGGAACTGTAAATCAAAAAAGTAACTTCTCAAGTTTTTGGAGAAGTTTATAATATAAGGTGCCATAGCCAAACTCAGCCCTACTCCAGCTATTCCTCTGTTATGGCACTTGCACTGGAGATCAGAGAGAATTCACTAGATTAGACTTTCTCTTTATCCTAAACAGGTTTGCTGGACTTCCGCAGTGGTAGAAATTACTGCTGGTGTCTCTGCATCTGAACCTGATCCACACCCAGAACTACAAATTAGAATATATCAAGGCAACACAACATTTCTAGGCTGCAGTTTTGTCTCCAGAACAGACATTTATGACTAAAGAACACCAACATGCTGGTAACACAGTATTAAAAATGTTTTTACCTTCAGGACTCAGGCAAGGAGAAAGTTCAGGCACACCATTCACATTGGAAGCAGACCCACAATGTGGTGGAATCTATGAAAAGATGACAAAGATAATTCTGCAACAGGCAGAGAGACTACCAAGCAATTACACAGGGAAACTAATGAAAATGTTCAATAGCCACACTGTGAAGTAATCTTTCATGGAATCACTTGCCAAAAGCCAACTATGACTTTACAAAACAAAAAAACCCTTAAGATTAGGAAATACTTTGTTTTGGAATGAAAAAAAAAAACTAATTAAGACAAAGGCCAGGACACAAATACTGTATGTATTTAAAGCTCAGTGCAATGTTTCCATCAGAATTGAGGACCTCCCTTCCCCCGCTACATCTTTAAGACAGGGGTCGTCAACCCCCGATCTGCGTCCCAGTGCCAGTCTGTGGGCTTGCCGGAACTGGGCCGTGTACACGGATCTCCACCCTCCCGCACGCACGCGTAGTGGGTGTGTCGCGCTTGTGCAGTGGGCGTGTCACGCTCATGCAGGAGGGTGTCACACTCGTGGGGTGTTGCACTCGTGGGGGTGTTGCGTTTGCGGGGGTCACACTTGCACACATGCGCACAAGCGCAACACCCCCTGTGTGAGCACAACACACCCACCACGAAAGTGTGGGGTTGTGCCCCCCCGGCATGAAGCTAGGTGTTGCGTTTGCGGGGGTCACACTTGCATGCATGCGCAGAAGCGCGACACCCCCGTGTGAGCACAACACACCCACCGCAAGAGCATGGGGTTGTGCCCCCAGGCATGAAGCTCACTCCCCCCAGCCGGTCCGTGGCCCCAAAAAGTTTGGGGACTGCTGCTCTAAGATACTTGTTGTGGAAGGTTGGACAGCCCTCTGCATCAGGTTTTTAGGAAGATGAAGAGCTAGGGAGCTGCCAGTAATGGCACAAACAATGGAATCAGCCCATATGGCTTTTGGCCAAGCTGCCCATGTGGTCTTTCACTCTCCAAATAATTTTGAAGAACACTTAGGAATTAATATTGGAAAGGATCTTCCAAATGCTGCAGAAGACAGATCATCTTCAAGCATTTGATTGAGGAATATATTCTGGATTCTGCCAAGTATATTCCTCTTGCAACACAGTGGCAAGGTATCAGCATGGCATATCCTCTAATTCTTACTTTTCACCTACATCAGAACTGTCTATCTTCTGCAGCATGTGAAAGAAACTGCCCTATTGGAAAACACAACAAATCAATATATAAACTGACTTGTGAAAGGGCAGACAAACATGTCTCACTCTAAGAAAACATTGAGTTCCAGTAATAAAGACAACAACAACAAAAAACCCAGAACAAGATACAAGGAAAAGAAGATGGGCCTCAAAAAGCAAAAGTAGTATTCAGTGATTCCCAACATACACAACTTTTTCTTAGCTCTTTTATGGAAATAAATACTTTCTGTGTTTTTACTTAACATTATGAAGAGGATTAAATTCAGAATACAGTATTTAGTACCTTTCTTATGTACCCACTGTGGTGTAATGGATAAAAGGATATACCAAGACCCACTCAGTCTCAAAACGTAAAGTTTTATTATGCGGCCATAGAACCGATTATACAAAGATAAATATATAGTGTGGTGTAATGGATAAAAGGATATACCAAGACCCACTCAGTCTCAAAACTTAAAAGTTTTATTATGCGGCCATAGAACCGATTATACAAAGATAAATATATAGAATAAATACATGGTATAGTATAAAATCTTGCTATAGCGTTTTGCAAATTCTCATAGCTGAAAATAAAAACTTAGCCACTAAGTCATGGGAACTCATGTGGGGTTGGCATTGAGGGTGGAACTGGTACAACCATTGCTTAAAAACATCACTTTCAAAGCCCTATTAAGAACACTATAACCCAATTCTAACTTGATGGCACATAAAATAACAGTAACTTACTTTCTTTTACTATCATGCTTATTTATGTCTTATTTCAAACCTAACCTTCTGACTGCTGGAAAAAGAGATCCTGCATTGCTCATATTTTCAAAGAGGTAATCATATTACATACTGAAATAAACTGAGGTATACATGATTTATTTTATGTTCTTCATGTAGCAAAGTTACTTTAGATTTGTCAACGATGCTAAAAACACCCATGTATCTTTCCATTTCCAAATCTCTCTGTTTTCCCCATGGCTTCAAAACTTTCTTGAAATTTTCTGTCTCTTGCTATTGGTGAACAAGAGAAGTATTCTGTGGGCTTGGAATTATAGCCCTTAAGATACAGATTCAGAATTTTTAAAATTCACTATTTCCAGATATCTAAACACTTTGAAACTCAATATGAATACTATATAGTGATTATTTTCTCCTTTAAAAAATAAACACAAACAGGGAAAACTTTTTAAAAGGTTTCCCTGAATTCTCCACCAGAAACAATGGCTAGTTCTCCAGGGCTATCACCTCCCCTAAACAATGAGTAGTCCTAGCATTTTTATATTTGCAGAAGGCTTTTTCCTGCATACCTCCAAGCTCCTACAGGGTAGCCTGGAACGTATTCTTGAGACGTGGGTCTGGTGCCTCTTGCTATTTGCCCATCTAGCTCTTTGCTTTCTTGGACTGGTAGCTCAACCTCTGCCCTCTAATGACTATGCCCCTTCACAATAAGTAAGCCACTTGCCCCCATAGTAGCAGTGCATTTGCCTGCAGCAATGCCCTGTGCTGAGTCTGTTGGTGGCCGAGCATGCTACTATTGGAGGGTTAGTCCACGTCCCATCCATGCTTGAGCTCCTTCTTGCAATGCATGCACTCAGCCATGCTAGCATCTGTTGCACACTGTTGAAAATGCTTCCAGATTATTGGGCCTTCTAGTTTTTGGCTGTGTGTCCATCATTACTAGTTCTAGCAACTGGTGGGGCAAGTGCAGCTTGAGAGGCAGGGGTGATTTCAGGATTACATGCTTCTGAAATAGTGCCTACCTGAATCCCCTCAGTCTCTTTCTCCCCCATGTCAGATCTGTATATATTTGAAGAGGAGTTCCAGCCAGCCATCATGCTACTTTGCACAGGAGAGATTTGATCAGAATGGAGGCTTGAATATGATGAGTTGTATGGTACAGACATGGAAGGAAATGTCTGATGATCTTCATAAATCTCTTTCCCAACCACAAAAGAAGCAGCAGCACTGCTGCTTCCCAAACTGACAGTGTCAATTTGAGTGCTGATGCCATCCTTGTCCATCTCTGGCATATTGGTTCTTTGAAATAAAAGTACTGCCTTCATCATCTTTTTTGGTCCCTTGCCCTGGCCTAACCTGGCTAGACTGCACAAAGATTTAAGTGGACTATGTCTGAGGTTCACTCATATCTATCCCACCTTGAACCAGAGGTTTTGCTGCCACCTCCTTGACATCAACACACATACGTTCCACTACTAAATGCTGCTTTTTCATATTATTTGTGCTGAACAAGGCAACTGGGTGACAGATTTAGTTTAGAGAACTCATAATAGCAGTTGTAGTCTGTGTTTTCCTCTTCCTCTCCCACTCCTCTCAGTAGGTGCTGCTGCCGTGGGTGTAGGCAGCATTCCTGCAGTCTTCCCTGCTTCTTCTACCACATTTCATACTGCCTGCAGACTTTATTCAAAGAACAGCATGTGATTCTGCTACTGAAGAACACAAACCCTTCCAATGAAAATCACACACACACACACACACACACACACACACACACAGCCTCTTAATATATCTGTCATTAGGTAAAGGTAAAGGTTCCCCTTGACAATTTTTGTCCAGTCGTGTTCGACTTTAGGGGGTGGTGCTCATCCCCGTTTCCAAGCCATGGAGCCAGCGTTTTGTCCAAAGACAATCTTCCGTGGTCACATGGCCAGTGCAACTTAGACACGGAATGCTGTTACCTTCCCACCGAGGTGGTACCTATTTATCTACTCACATTTACATGCTTTCAAACCGCTAAGTTGGCGGGAGCTGGGACAAGCGACGGGAGCTCACTCCGTCACGTGGATTCGATCTTACGACTGCTTGGTCTTCTGACCCTGCAGCACAGGCTTTTGCGGTTTAACCCACAGCGCCACCACGTCCCTGTCATTATATAACAAAATATTCTTCCTCTGCCTGATATTCGTCCGTTCGTTTAGTCGTTTAGTCGTGTCCGACTCTTCGTGACCCCATGGACCAGCACACGCCAGGCCCTCCTATCTTCCACTGCTTCCCGTAGTTGTGTCAATTTCATGTTGGTTGCTTCGCAGACACTGTCCAGCCATCTCATCCTCTGTCGTCCTCTTCTCCTCTTGCCGTCACACTTTCCTAACATCAAGGTCTTTTCCAAGGAGTCTTCTCTTCTCATGAGATGGCCAAAGTACTGGAGCATCAGCTTCAGGATCTGTCCTTCCAGTGAGCACTCAGGGTTGATTTCCTTTAGAATTGATAGGCTGGTTCTCCTTGCAGTCCAGGGGACTCTCAAGAGCCTCCTCCAGCACCACAATTCAAAGGCATCAATTCTTCGGCGGTCTGCTTTCTTTATGGTCCAGCTCTCACTACCATACATCACGACAGGAAAATCTTCTTGATGTCTTCTGCTTCTGTTAGGTCCCTCCCATTTTTGTCCTTTATCATGTTCATCTTTGCACAAAATGTTCCTCTAATATCTCCAATTTTCCTGAACAGATCTCTGGTTTTTCCTTTTCTGTTATTTTCCTTTATTTCTTTGCATTGTTCATTTAAGAAGGCCCTCTTGTCTCTCCTTGATATTCTTTGGAAGTCTGCATTCAATTTTCTGTAACTTTCCCTATCTCCCTTGCATTTTGTTTCCCTTCTCCTCTCTGCTATTTGTAAGGCCTCGTTGGACAGCCACTTTGCTTTCTTGCATTTCCTTTTCTTTGGGATGGTTTTTGTTGCTGCCTCCTGTACAATGTTACGAGTCTCTATCCCAAATTCTTCAGGCACTCTGTTCACCAAATCGACTTCCTTAAATATGCCTGATATACCTCTAACCTAATATAGTATTTCCCTGTGACTTTAGATTTTAGAATGTATTAAAGTATGAATTCACAAGTCCTAAATCATCTTCTT